GGCATGCATTGGAGCCCATAACCATGATACTTCAGGCAAGGGGGGCAAAGATCTAAAGCAACATGAAGTGAAAATTGGGGGGGGGGGGGGGGCAGGAAGGGTTTTGGCATGCATTGGAGCCACTCGAATTAAATTTCATGGTTTTGGGCAAGGGGGGCAAGAATCTGGTGGTCAAATGATGTGGGTTGATGGGAGCGCGGAAAGTGGGGAAGGTGGGGGAAGCGACTTGAGGACTGGCAGGGCGGAAGGGAATTTTTTTGGGATGCTTGGGAGCCCATTGTTTTGGGCATGCAATTGGAGCCCATAGGAAGCAAAGATGTGGGGGGTGAGGGGAACGGGGAGGGTGGGGAGGGTTGAGGGGTTGGGGGGGGGAGGGTTGGGCATGCCATTGGAGCACTTCAGGCAGAGGGGGAAAGACATAGGGGGGGGGGGGGGGGCAGGGAGGGTTTGGGCATGCATTGGAGGTCAGAGAATTATTCATGCGTTTGGGCATCGGGGGGGCAAAGATCTGGGGGGCAAAGATGTGTGTGGGGCGATTGGGAACGTTTGGGCATGCATTGGAGCCCATGGTTTGGGCATGCATTGGAGCCCATAGGAGGCAAATGTGGGGGGTGAGGGGAGCGGGGAGGGTGAGGGGGGTGGGAGGGGGCGGGGAGGGTTTGGGCATGCATTGGAACCCATAGAATACTTCAGGCAGAGGGGGCAAAGATCTAACGCAACATGAAGGAATGGGGGGGGGGAGGGGGGGGGGGGCAGGAAGGGTTGGGAAGGGTAGGGGGGGGGGGGGGGGGCAGGAAAATTGGGGGATTGCATCGGCGCGCATAGAATTATTCATGCGTTGGGGAATAGGCCCATAGGAGGCAAAGATGTGGGGGGTGAGGGGAGCGGGGAGGGGGGAGGGTGAGGGGGGTGGGGGGGCGGGGAGGGTTTGGGCGTGCGTTTGGAGCCCATTGAATACTTCAGGCAGAGGGGGCAAAGATCCTAACGCAACATGAAGGAATGGTGGGAAGGGTAGGGGAGGGGGGGGGGGGGCAGGAAGGGTTTGGGCATGCATTGGAGCCCATAGAATTATTCATGCGTTTGGGCATAGGGGGGGGGCAAAGATCTGGGGGGCAAAGATGTGGGGTGAGGGGAGCGCGGAAATAGGGGGGGCGAAGATCTGGGGGGCAAAGATGTGGGGTGAGGGGAGCGCGGAAAGTGGGGAAGGTGGGGGGAGCGGAACTTGAGGGAATGGCAGGGGCGGAGAAGGGAATGTTTGGGCATGCATTGGAGCCCATTGTTTGGGCATGCATTGGAGCCCAGAGTATGGGGAAGGCAGAGGGGGAGCACGGGGTGAGGGGAGCGAGAGGCAAAGATGTGGGGGGATGGGGCAGGGGAGGGATCGGTTCTTCACCAGCGCCTCGCCCCACGAGGGGGGTCGGCGGATATACCTAGAAACTCCTTTCGGCAGAAATTTCAGCCGCAATTCAAAAAAGACTCCTTTTTTAAAGTGAGGCGGAACTGTCTGTGTTTCGGCTGTTCTGAATCAGTTTCGGCATTGCTTTATAACCCTGTAACAATTGCGGCGTTTTTGTTTTTCCTAAGTTTTTGAGGTTTCAGTTAGACTCAGCTTTTGTTGTAGTCAATTTTGTACGGAAGAGCAAGCAAATCGCTGTCTCAACTGGAGGAATGGCGTAGGTTTCTATCGAAAAGCTTGCAAGAGTGCTAAGTGGAAGGAAGGGGAAATGGCACCTGCTTTTCACCATAGTGCATGTTTGGCATGCTGCAACTTTCATGCTGCGGGTAGGGCTGGGGAACTTGACTTGCTCATGGGGGTGTTGCTTTGTGTTTTTCTGCGTTAGAAGTTGCGTTTTTCATTTTTCATGTTGGTGTTGTTTGTTTTGGTATGTGGTGTTCTGTTCGTTGTCCTTGATTGTTGGTTCAGGAAATGCACAAAGCAGCGAGGTGTTTGGTGTTTTCTTTTTGCTTTTAGTTTACTTGCTAAGCTAGCAAGGAAGGTTCATAACGGTTTTTTTGTGTTACTTGCTCTTTGTATCGAGTTGCGTTTGAGTTGTTTATGTTGTTATTTGTTTGTGTTGTTTGTGTTGTTTCTTTTCTTTGATTTCTGCGGGAATCGAATTGTTCTGAACTCCTGAAGTCGTTTTCGATTGCTTGTGTTTTCTCGAGTTTTTTCTCGAATTTATCGTAATGTTCCTTGATTCTCGCGGGTTTCTTGTCTTGCGCAGTGTTTCGAGATGTTTCTCGGTTTTTCGTTTTGATTTGTCATTTTTATTCTTCGCGCTTTTTCCCCCGGTGTTTTCCGAAGTTTTACTCGATGTCTTCGACATGTTCTCGATTTTTCTCAATGTTTTCATGATTTTTTCCGTGGTTTCGGTGTGGTGTTTTCACGAATTGTTCAGATTTTCAAGCTGTTTTAAGGTTTTATGGTTTTCCAATGCTGTCAAGTCGACGTGATTTCGTTTTTTCGTGTTCTTCCAGATTTGTCCAGCTAGTTTTCGTTTGCTTTCTTTTGTCTCGGATTTTTCGGCGAAAATCACAGCGGAAAAGCCCGGCATTACGGCGGAAAAAACCCGGCATTACGGCGAAAAACCCGGACATGTTTCAAGGGCCTGGGCATGCAGGCATGGCAGTCTGTTTCAGGGAGTAGGGTCGCGACCAGAAACGTCGCTAAAAAATGATGATTGTTACTGCCAACTGCCGGCTGAGAACGAAAAGAGCTATGCGTGTTTTGCCAGCAAACAAAGTAAACATGAGCTTCGTATAAACATGAGCTTCATATATACAGTCAAGACGATAGCTCTGAATCGCCTTTTGTGAAAAACCAGAGATGGAGCAACAGCGGGATCGTCAGCATTTTGAATCTCAAATCCAGGATGAGGAGACTACCCCAGTCCCTGCTCCCAAGCCAGAGAATGAGGTCCATGACTGGATTTCGCAGTGCCGGGAGAGCATTCGCTTGATATGGTGCGGGCTGTCGAGGCAGGTAAGCTGCAGCAGCCCGCTACACAAGATGACATTGGCCGAGAAGCGCAATAGGAAACTAGACAGTAGATGGACAGCAATCGCACGAAGAACAAGAGGAATTTGAGCCAGGATATGGACTGGGACCACACGAAAGGCAGAAGGAACCCCAGAAAATACGTGGACAGCTGCCACACGAAGAGCGGGAGGAACCCCGCCCAGTAGTTTGACAGCAACCACGCGAGGAGCAGAAGGAACCCCAGCCAGGACATGAAAGCCACACAGCAAAAGCCCACCGACCCAGTCGAACCAAAAGAACCATCCCGACCTGCAGATGCATCCAAGATCTTCCTCATCCAAGATCCTCAGTGGAGCAAGAAGCAAGCTGCCAGCAAAAACAACAAAGCACAGCAGCACAACAGCACGGGACAAAATCAAGAAGGACGCGCGCCGCCGTGGCGTGCCGCGGCGTTCCGAATCCGTCAAGCTAAGGGGGAACTCCACAGGACCCCCCCGCCTAGTGGCGTTCCGCGGCGTTCCGAGTCCGTCAAGCTAAGGGGGAACTCCACAGGACGCGCGCCACTGTGGCGTTCCGCGGCGTTCCGAATCCGTCAAGCTAAGGGGGAACCTGCACTTCTTGTGTAATGTTCCGTATGAACCGTGCGAAACGAAAACCTCCTTTCCGCCCGCGCACCGACGTTTCGTTGATTTCGCGTTATATTTGCGTTATGGGTGACTGCTTTCCGCATTCGGGTTCGTGGGTCCTATCAGGTTTTCTCTACCTCGCGCCCATGGAAGAAGAAAGAGAACAAAAGAAGCTGGAGAAATTGGAGAAGGGAGGGACGAGAGGGAAGGACAAGATCTTTCTTCGTTGTAGTAAGATCATGCTTCCACTCTTTTTGGCTGCTCACAATGGCTTGACAAAATTTGAACGGCTATCCTTTTTGCCTTTTTCCTTTCTCATCCAGAAAGATTTTTAAAACAACCCGTTTTTCCATCTTCTTGAGCAAGACTGTCTGCCAATGAGGAGGATGCATACATGATTGAAGCGTTACTTGAAAGTGTCATTCAGTTTTGCTGTGCTAGCGAAGCCATAAACCATACGAAGCCGTCAGACCAAAGTTGGGGGTATAGGCTCTTGCCACATAGGCTCATAGGGTTTAGAATGTCAGTGTTCATCAAAAGTCGTGTGGTTCATTGCGGCTTTGATGCAGACGGGCTCCGTCAAATAGAACGTACTATGTATTTGGCAACCCCCCCCCCCAAGTATCTCCCTATTTTGGCTTCTTATACAGGTTTATATGATTTAGGGGGGTGGTTAAAGGTTTAGACTTAAGAAACGATGTGTATATATATATATATATATAGATATAGATGAATTGAATCGGCCCCTGGTTTGCAAACATGCTGAGATTCATAGCTTTCGTGTTGAGGTGGACGTTCGGAAGTACTGAAAAATGCTGAAATTCCGGATCCAAGATCCAAAATCCAAGATTGCGAGAGACTGTTGAAATCGAATCTTGGATCCAGTGCGAATACTCTAAAAGTACTGAAAGACTGAATTTCAGTATTCCGGATCCAAGATCCAAGATTGGCAGGTAACTCTGCTGAGCAGTCTTGGATCTTGGATCCAGAATTCTGAAATTCAGTGAAAGTCAGTGAAATTCACTGAAATGCAGTCTTTCAGTGTTTCCCCGGATGACCGTCTATGTCAGACGATGAGCAGGCGTTGGAGATGCCCAGACGTGGGTTCCTGGATGGCCGGGGGGGGGCATCATATGTATAAATAAATACATCAAAATAAATATATATATATATATATACACGCTATACATATACATGCATATATGATATGAGAATGTGTTTGTTGCAAAAGTTTTACGAGGCACGGAGCTCACGTCAGAATGACACACACTTACTCCCGACAACGGCCTCCTTCTCCGGGTCCTCCCAGCCTTCTAATTACTGTTCTTGAGACTTTCTCTTCGTCGAGAGGCCAGGTGCGGGGTGCCGCCACGCTGAAGACGCTCTCCATTCGCATGCGGGCCATCAAGAATATGCAGAAGATCACCAAGGACCTTTGCGGGAGACCATCTCGCGGAATCTCCTCACCTGTAAAGGGCTCTTCCAGCATCCCATCCGTGAGGCGATGAAGATGGTGGCAACAGCCAAGTTCAAGAAGGACATGAGGACCCCGCTGCTGAGTCTGCTACGAGAGCACGTGCATCGGCCTGCTCTGTCACCACTTACTAGTGGAGCACATGCCAGTGGCTGCCAGTGCACTGTCGCAGGACGATGGAAAACAGCCTACCCTTCGCAAATCCGGTGCTCAACCTCTTCCAGCGCTTGCCTGTTGAGGAGAAGGTGCGGTCCTTATCGCTTTCCTTGTTTCCCTTTCGCACAGTCTCCATATATCAGTCTCTATATGAGTCTGCACCTGCGTCTGCATCGGCGGAGGCAGGTGGAATCACTTACGTCGCAGTGACTTCGGACAAGGGTCTCTGCGGAGGCGTTAACACCGCTGCCGCTCGGAAAAAAGCTAAAGTGCTAAAGCCTCGAAGCAAATGGGTGCCGAAGCCTTCTGAACTTCTGAAGAGCGCACCCTGCCCCTGCTCTCGCTTCTCAGAATTTTCCCCACTTTTGGAGTCTCAGGTGGCCAAGCAGGTGCGCCTGGGCTTGGCTGCTGAAGAGGCGAAGGGCAATGCTGCCAAGATCATGGTCGTCGGTGGCAAGGCTCGCTCTCGCAAAGCCTATGGAGTAGGCCCCGTAGCCCCGTAGGCCAGGAAACCCTTTTCTGTGCTAGTCCCGCTCGAGCCATCAAGGGCGTCGCTGTGCTGAAGCGTCTCTATGGCGATCGTTTCAGCACCACCTTCGAGGCAAGGCACTGTGCGGGGATCGGAATCCATTTTCTTCGGAACGCCCCCCCCTCTTGATATTCTCGCGAGGAGTGCTCCAAAGTGCCCTTCACCTTCGCCGCCGCCTCGGTCATCGCAGAGCGGCTCGCTGCCAGCAAGCCGCCCCGGTGCAAGGCGAGATGAGAGTGCCTCTTGAGAAAAAGTCTTTTGTGTGAAAAGAGAGAGCCTTGGAATGGGGGCCCGGGAATGTTCGAAGGCTTCGGAGCTCGGAATGATTTCGCAGCTTAAAAGTTCGGAACATTTCGAGTTTGAAGTTGAAACTACGCGCAGGCATGTCCCTGTCAAACTTCAAACTTTCAAAGTTTCAAGCCGAATGTTCGAAACTCGAGCTCGAGCGTTGGCGACCCCGACTTTGAAAGAAGTTCAACGTCAGAAAGTTTGGAGTTCGACGGAGTGTCGCGATTGAGAGTTTGACCTTCTGACGCCTCTCGAATTCGAAAGTTTGAGCCACGGTCGACTTTGAGAGTTTCAGAGCTCGACAGATTGAGTCTTTTCGAGTTTGGAGCTTGATGTCATGCGCCGAGGAGGCCTCGACGCTGCGAGTTTGAAAGTGTGAAAGAGCGGGAGTGAGTGTTTGAAGTTGGAAGCCCTGTCGAGATGGAAAAGTCTGAATGTTCCACGCTCAAAGTTTGAGAGAACGATAGTTCGACGCCCGTAAGAGGACTTGCATTTCATGGTGCTGCGCACGGTGTCTTTCCCCCCCCCCTCCCAATTTTCAAACACGGTGATCCTATGCTCCTCCCCTGATCCCCCCCATCTCAGTCGTCGGAAGGGTTTGGGCCTGTCCCCAGCGATGTTTCATGGACCATGGACGTCCCCCCCCTTTCTTGCCTAAAAAACGACCCCTCGGGACCTTCTTGACTTCCCTGCCAGAAGGCGCACCACGGGACACACGGGGCTGTTTTTAGGAAGGGTTGGAGTGGGGGGGGGGGGGTACGTTCGAGAAACCTGTCCCCAGCGATGTTTCATGGACGTTCCGCCCCCTTTTCTTTTCTAAAAAATGGTTCCCTGCCAGAAGGCGCGCAACGGGACACACGGGGCTGTTTTTAGGAAGGGTTGGAAGGGGGGGGGGGGGGGGGGGGGGGGGGGGGGGGGGGGGG